GTGCCATGCTCCGTTTTAGCGACATGCGCGCAACGTTCCTTTGTGCAGCACCGCTTTCTCAAGCACATCGCCGTGCCAGCGTCGGTGTCTGGCTATATACGCATCTGGTTATGCATACGCGCCGTCGTCTGTCCCTTCATCCTCTGCCATCTCTCCCACTTCCCGCGTTGCCCCTCCTGACCGTGCTCCCTCCCCCCCCTTCCGAGGAAGAATATTGCCATGGTGGCTGCACTTACCATCCGTAGTGTATCCATGCTGCTCACCAGCCGGGATCGGGCCACCCAGATTTGACATCCCAAGCGTCCCCCCCATCCTCCTTCCCCGCAGTCGCCCCTTTAAATATTTAGTCGGCATGGTGACTTAGGTTGCCGTTCCCCCCCCCCATGCGGGCAAGATTTGTATACACATCCATTGCGTTTTGGAATTTATGGTTCCTTTCCCCAGAGACCAGAGGCGCAGAGGATATGGGTAAATATCTGGCCCCAACTTGCTCGATGTTTATCCACAACCACTGCGCCTCGACCCTTTGGCGCCCCCGTCCAGAAAGTCCAAGACGCAGCAGATATGGATATCAGGGTGAGGGGACCGAACGGTCATTCACTGTCCCTGAGTGGTCCCTTGTTGTTGTTGTCGTTGAACCCACTATTGAAGAATAATTATTGTTAATCCCCCCCTCTGGTGACCATTGTGTTTTTTAAATTGAAGTGCTTCCCCCTGGGCTCGCCCCGTTTTTTTAACAAATGACACACATATATATATATATATAAAAATTTATATGTACACATACAAATAGGGGAAGTGGGCCTCCAACTGGGCCCCTGGCCCCCGGTTTACAACAACAACGGCTCCCGCCTGATACCTCCTCAATTTGTTCCCAAATCGCGCTGTCGCGCGGGACTTCCTCACAATTCATATACGCATCGCGCTTTCGCGTGGAACTTCCTCGTCATTTTCTCAAGCGATGCGCCCTCGGCGCTCAGGAATCACGCTCTCGCTTTGGATTTTCTCACGATTTGCTTGGAAATAGAGCTAACGCTCGAGACTTCCTCGCGACTCATGCAGGACCCACGCTTCAGCAACCCGCCTGCTCGACCTGGTCGCCTGGGCCCGCCTTCCCGACCTGCCCGCTATAGGTCTGCCCACCCGATCTGCCCGTCTGGCTTGCTTTCTGCTCCTTGCCCCCTCTCCTGTTAATTTGTCTCGTGCTCCATTCTTCTCCCTCCCCCTTCCACCCGTCCTCCGTTCCCTTGTTGTAGGAGCTGCGCTAAATGCACGTGGCAGGTAAGGAAGGTATACCGCAAGGGGGTATGATCGAAGACGACGAGGGCGGGTACGTGAACGGATAGGAGCGAACTGTCTTAAAATGGTCGATGTTGTTGTTGTTGTTGTTGTTGTTGTTGTTGTTGTTGAATTCTTACTATTGAAAAACAATTGTTGCTGATCCCCCCTCCGGAGCACAGTGTATTTGTTCAATTGGAGTGCCCCTCCCGGCGCTCGCATCCCCTTTTTTATCAGGGAAAATCTTCCTTCTCAAATTGCGTTGTCGGCCCCCGGGTTACAACAACAACAACAACAACAACAACAACAATTACTAGCACGTGGGGACACACCGTTCTCACCAGTGCCAGGGTTTTCATAGGAGGCGGGCAATACCCCCACTTTGTGGGGGGGCCGGTTCAAGCTCTACCAAATTTCCAAACGACTCTTCGCCACCACCCACACCCAGCTTCCCGCCCTATGACGTTCGGACACTTCACTTCGTGGCATGCGGACGACCGTGGCTACTATTCAGGGCCCCGCGGCCGACGACGACGGCGTGCGCGCGCGAAGAAAAAACGAATGTGTCCCGCATGGTATTATTTGACAGGGATGATGGCCCTGGCAGGTGCGCAACCGTTGTTGCAGAAGTTCGAAAAAGTTGCTCGCAAAAGCCCGTTTGACAGAAATAATTAAAAAGTGTTGGGTTCCCTACGAATCCGCAAGAGCGCGCGGGATGAAATTTTGACATTTTTTTTTTTTTTTGAAAAACCATTGGTTTTTTATGTTTTTATGTTAAAATCGCTACGGAAACTAAGGTTTTGGAAAGATTTCGTCTTGCGCGCGCGAATGTCCACTTTACCTTATTTTTTTGCAAGGGATTCTTGAAGTTTGGTTACGTTAGAACAAGACATGCCCACTTTAGCTTATTTTTTGCAAGGGAAAACCGGTCGTAACAACACAACCGGATCCGGACCAACCCGTTTTGCCTGAGACTTCTTCACGAAAATGATGAAAAATGAGGCTGCGGCCTAGGCGCTGCGGGGGGGCCATGCACCAGGGGCCCCAACAATAATTATTCTTTAGAAGTAATAATGTTCAACAATAACAACAACGGCTCCCGCTTGAGAATCCATAATTTAGCCAGGACCCCCGCTCCCGCCTGAGACTTCTTCCTCGCATTTTACTCAGGAATCGCGCTCTCGATTGGGACTTCCTTACAATTTATTCAGGAATCGCCCTCTCGGCACTCTGGAGTCGCGCTCACGCGTACGAATCCTTCACAGATCATTTCGGAATCGGGATCTCGATGCCCGTCGTGGCCCCGTTGCAGCCCTTCGTGGCGCCTCGTTGTCCGTCGTGGACCCGTTGCAGCCCTTCGTGGCCCCCTCGCTGCCCTTGGTGACCCCGTTGCAGCCCTTCGTGGCCCCGTCGCTGCCCTTCGTGGCCCCGATGCAGCCTTGCGTGGCCCTCCCGCTGCCAGTCGTGGCCCCGTTGCAGCCTTTCGGGGCCCACTTGCAACCATTCGTGGCCCCGATGCAGCCTTGCGTGGCCCCCTCGCTGCCTTTCATGGCCCCGTTGCAGCCCTTCGTGGCCCCCTCGCTGCCCTTCGTGGCCCCGTTGCAGCCCTTCGTGGCCCCGTCGCAGCCCTTCGTGGCCCCGTTGCAGCCCCTCGTGGCCCCCTCGCTGCCCTTCGTGGCCCCGTTGCAGCGCCTCGTGGCCCGCTCGCTGCCCTTCGTGGCCCCGTTGCAGCCCTTCGTGGCCCCCTCGCTGCCCTTCGTGGCCCCATATTGTAGTGGCCTCCGGCCAGTGCCGCCGATCCGGGCCGCTCTGGATGATGATTATTATGATGATGATGATGATGATGATGATGATGATGATGATGATGATGATGACGCTGATGCTGATGCTGATGCTGATGCTGCTGCTGCTGCTGATGAGGATGATGATGAGGATGAGGATGAGGATGAGGATGAGGATGAGGATGAGGATGATGATGATGATGATGATGATGATGATGATGATGATGGTGATGTGACGATGGTGATGGTGATGGTGATGGAGATGGTGATGATCCCGGCTCCCCACCCCACCCCCTCTTCTCTCTCCTGTCCCCCCTCCCCTTCTCTTCTGTCCCCACCCCTCTCTCCTTCCCCCCCCCCCTCCCCCACCCTCTCTCCTGTCCCCCTCCCCCCCTCTCTCCTGTCCCTCCCCCCCTCTTCTTCTCTTCTCCCCTCTCTCCTGTTCCCCCTTCCCCCTCTCTCCTTTCCCCTCCCCCCCTCTCTCCTGCACAATTACTCAATATGAATACTACCCTCCTCCTTCCCCTGATGACTGGTTGGGAGTGTTCGCCCCCCCCCCCCCCCGCGTATTGTTTTTACACAGGATTCCCCGGAGTTGGATTTTCGCCTGCTCTCGCTGAGGCACCGGCCTCATTTTCGGTCCCCGCTCGTTCCGAATCGTGCTCCCGCTGCAGCGCTGGCCTCATTTCCGCGCTTCCGCTCGTTCCGAATCGTGCTCCCGCTGCAGCGATGGCCTCATTTCCGCGGTTCCGCTCATTCCGAATCGTTCTTCCGCTGCAGCGCTGGCGTCATTTCCCGTGCCATGCCACGGCATGCAATGCAATGCTAGGTTGCGTTCCGCTGCGCGATGCCATGACTTCAGTTGAAGCTGTGATATGCAGTGCTTAAGTGCCACGTCGTGCTATGCCATGCTACGTTTTGATCTTCAACGCCATGCTATGCAATGGTATGTTCGGGGCCGCTGTGCGATGCCATGCTTTGCGTTGCAAAGCTTTGTGATGCAATTCTTCACTACGCCACGCTACGCTATGCTGTGACATACTACGCTTTGCGGTGCTCTTCTACGCCATGCCATACCGTGCTCTACAATACATCGCGTACCCTTTCGGGATTATTGCCCTGCTCGACATCCGACTGTGCGAGTAGAGAGGGCATCTACGCCATGGTAAGGGATGGGAGGGAGGGGTAGGATGTCAGATATGACGCGAGCGCACCTAGCTTGCCCCTCCCCCCTCTCTCCTGTCCCCCCCCCTCTCCCCTACCCCCCCCTCTCTCCTGTCCTCCCCCCCCCTCTCTCCTGCCCCCCCCCCTCTCCTGTCACCCTCCCCCCCTCTCTTCTTCCCGCCCCTCTTTCCTGTCCCCCCCCCCTCCTCTGTCCCCCCCCTTCCCCTCTCCCCCTTCCCCTTCTCTCCTGTCCCCCCCCTCTCTCTCCTGGGGGCTGGCAGGGGGGGGGAGGTGCCGAGCACATTCGTCAGGTAATTACGTCCCCCCCCCCCCACCCTCCCAAGCAGAGCTAAAGCTCATGCTGAAGCAGAGTTTCAGCTTAGACTTCTTAAACTCACACGCCGGATCGGCGGATTTTACGCGTCCTCTGGCGCGGGACAACACAGGGGTGACATGTGTCACCCTGAACACCGCGCTGGAGAATAACAAGTGTTTCACTCCTGCTCTGGGCGCCAACATGGGACTAGCAGGTGTGAAACAACACAGGGGTTACACGTGCCAGCCCAAAAACCGTGTGAGAACATAATCAAGTGTTTCAATCGTAGTCTGGGCGCCAACGCGGGACCATACAGCGCGAAACAACAGGGATGACCCGTGTCACCCCGAAAACCGCGTGAGAAAAAACAGTTGTTTCAGTCGTGTCCTGGACGCCGGCATGGGACCATACCGTGTGAAACAGCACAGGGGTGACACGTGTCTCCCCGAAAGCCCCGTGGG